ATAACTCAATTTGTTTGCACACATCTTTGTAATTATGAGACTATATTTAAAAAAATAATGATTCATTGCCTAAATCGTCTCGTAAATTGCAGTTCAATAAGCGTGTGTTTGCAATTGTTTTCTGGCAAAGGTTTCTTTCTTCAGTGTTGTAAACTAGTAGCAAAGTGTGTTTTTTGTTCACAATTGTCAAATTGCAATATCACATTTCCTCATTTGTTTTAAAAAGGAATATTTTTACAATTACATCAATCAATAAACTATTAGGCACCTATGTATGGGTCTTTTTTTCTTATCTCACCTGCTTCCTCCATTTAAAATCTTTGTATAATCCTGTAGAACCCTTACTACCTAACCGTTATTGTGTTTGAGGGTAGAGCTAACGTCTAAATTTAATCATTAATTAAATCTAAAGCTTGATTAAAAATTGGTGGAAAGGCTTCTATTATAACCGGATATGGTTAGGGGTAAATAGATGGGAGAACCGCGATTCCCGAAAACCCTAGCCTCGTTTTGATTTAGATGCGACCATGGTCTCATGCCCTGTTTTTATATGTAAATATACCTCAACATTGATACGTAAGCGGTTTATGTTTACTTTTCTTGATGTAGGGTGAATTCACCATGCATCGGACACCCTTGTACTTCAACAAGTTCTAGCGATATTGCTACCGAGGTAAAATTATCAAAATGGAGCTTAACACTTAGTATGTGATCAAAATATAAATTCTGGACACAATTATCATGAATATATGCCTTTTATTGAGAAAATATCACCAAAAATCGATTTTTTCCAAAAAACTAAAAATTCACCATGGATCGGACATTATTTACCATGCATCGGACAGACCGTATTCCAACCGTAAAAATGTCATACCTTTATCACAGTACTTCAAAATCCTTGATATGGATATAATTTTATATTTTATGTAAGAAATAACCCTCAAATTAAATTTATTTGACGATATCGTTGCACATATATGGAAAGATTCAAGATGCCTTACTCTGCCTTACAAAGGCTTTAAAATGCTTGTAATGCGGTAATTCGCACCTTTTCCTCTAGCGTTAATACTCTGGTTTTTAGAAATAAATTGAGTCAGAGTCAGATTCTAGACGTGATAAATCGATAACTTCTATTTTGACTTTAAATTTAGAGTTTTTATTTTCTATTTCCGCAAAAAACAACTGTCAGTTGGGTTCTGTATGAAAATGGTAGTGATTAACTTTGCATCAGAAAGTGTCCGATGCATGGTTAATTTGTGTCCGATGTACGGTGAAATGGCCTGAAGTTACGTCATATTTTACATCATCAAAGGGGAATAACCCGAAATTTATGATTTTGCAATTTTTAGAGTTATCGTTCTTTTAAATTCGACTTTCAAGGAACGAGTCGGACTTTGGTGAATTTTGTCGGGAATTGGTAATTTTACATAAATTATAAAGAAATCACACTTCAATGTTTGTTTAATTCTTATTAGAGCTGGTTTTTACTAGTATACTCATTTCACAGTACATGACTTCACCGACATCCTATATAGTACCTAGTTATATGCCCGTGACTTCACCGACATCCTATATAGTACCAATTTATAGGCCCGTGACTTCACCGACATCCTATATAGTACCTAATCATTGGCCCCTGACTTCACCGACATGCTATATAGTACTGAGTATAAGGCCCGTGACTTCACCGACGTCCTATATAGTACTGAGTATGAGGCCCGTGACTTCACTGACATCCTATATAGTACCTAATTATAGGCCCGTGACTTCACTGACATGCTATATAGTACTGAGTATAAGGCCCGTGACTTCACTGACATCCTTTATAGTACCTAATTATAGGCCCGTGACTTCAACGACATCCTATATAGTACCTAATTATAGGCCCTTGACTTCACCGACATGTTATATAGTACTGAGTATAAGGCCTGTGACTTCAACGACATCCTATATAGTACCTAATTATAGGCCCGTGACTTCACCGACGTCCTATATAGTACCTAATTATAGGGGGTGACTTCACCAACATGCTATATAGTACTGAGTATAAGGCTCGTGACTTCAACGACATCCTATAAAGTACCTAATTATAGGCCCGTGACTTCACCGACGTCCTATATAGTACTGAGTATGAGGCCCGTGACTTCACCGACATCCTATATAGTACCTAATTATAGGCCCGTGACTTCACCGACATCCTATATAGTACCTAATTATAGGCCCTTGACTTCACCGACGTCCTAAATAGTACTGAGTATGAGGCCCGTGACTTCACCGACATCTTATATTATTAAATGATAAAGAATGTTGGTGCTCTCTGATTGGTCTAGACGCCATTTACTGGTGTGTACCTCAGAGTGAGTTCACCTCAAATGACGTTCTGGGAGGTTTATTCGGGTTTTCCCTTTCGACCAACCATAGATTTGCTCACAGCTTTTTCGACCAATCAGATTGCGTGTTTCAAAGCATGTGTCGATGTGAATGTAAACATGTCAGACGTTATTACCAAGGAGATTAAGAACTTTTAAAAGTAAATGGTTGAGTATTTATGTTTATGAATATTGTTTTTAACTTTTTAACTAATATTTGTTTAGCTGTTGAAGTATATCAATATGTAAAAAGTGTAATTACACTTTACATTATGGATGTTTATATATGATGGAGACAAGAATGAAAGAGTCAGCAGTGTTGTAAAATTCCTCATCATTTAATAAAACGGTTATTGACTTTTGAATTCGGTCTACTTGTGACTATACGGACCTGGTCAGGTATTGGTTAATCTCGGCCTTCGGCCTTGGTCAACCAATACCTGTCCAGGTCCGTATAGTCACAAGTAGACCTCATCAAAAGTCAATTATTGTATATAGTACCTAATTATAGGCCCGTGACTTCACTGACATCCTATGTAGTATCTAATTATAGGCCCTTGACTTCACCGACATGCTATATAGTACTGAGTACAAGGCCTGTGACTTCACTGACATCCTATATAGTACCAAATTAAAGGCCCGTGACTTCACCGACATCCTATATAGTACCTAATTATAGGCCTGTGACTTCACCGACATGCTATATAGTATTGAGTATAAGGCCCGTGACTTCAACGACATCCTATATAGTACCTAATTATAGGCCCGTGACTTCACCGACGTCCTCTATAGTACCTAATTATAGGCCCGTGACTTCACTGACATGCTATATAGTACTGAGTATAAGGCCCGTGACTTCAACGACATCCTATATAGTACCTAATTTATGCCTGTGACTTCACCGACGTCCTATATAGTACCGAATTATAGGCCCGTGACTTCACTGACATGCTATATAGTACTGAGTATAAGGCCTGCGACTTCAACAACATCCTATATAGTACCAAATTAAAGGCCCGTGACTTCACCGACATCCTATATAGTACCTAATTATAGGCCCGCGACTTCACCGACATCCTATATAGTACCTAAATTATAGGCCCGTGACTTCACCGACATGCTATATAGTACTGAGTATAAGGCCCGTGACTTCACCTACATCTTATATAGTACCTAATTATAGGCCCGTGACTTCACCGACATCCTATATAGTACCTAATTATAGGCCCGTGACTTCACCGACATCCTATATAGTACCTAATTATAGGCCCGTAACTTCACCGACATCCTATATAGTACCTAATTATAGGCCCTTGACTTCACCGACGTCCTATATAATACTGAGTATGAGGCCCATGACTTCACCGACATCTTATATAGTACCTAATTATAGGCCCGTGACTTCACCGACATGCTATATAGTACCAATTTATAGGCCCGTGACTTCACCGACATCCTATATTGTACCTAATTATAGGGCCGTGACTTCACCGACGTCCTATATAGTACCTAATTATAGGCCCGTGACTTCAACGACATGCTATATAGTACTGAGTATAAGGCCTGTGACTTCAACGACATCCTATATAGTACCTAATTATAGGCCCGTGACTTCACCGACGTCCTATATAGTAGTGAGTATGAGGCCCGTGACTTCACCGACATCTTATATAGTACTTAATTATAGGCCCGTGACTTCACCGACATCCTATATAGTACCTAATTATAGGCCCGGAACTTCACCGACATCCTATATAGTACCTAATTATAGGCCCGTGACTTCACTGACATCCTAATAAATTTTGAAATTTTAGCTGAAACTGTGTCCATGCCCCTGTATCACGTTAAATGATATGAGGACATGCTTCACTCAAAGTTTCCAATAGAGGAAGCAATTTTTTCAGTCTTAATTCATTTTATTTCATTTCTTTACTTTCCAACTCAACCACTGTACGGGTACAATTATCAATGCATGATATCCACTGAATTTAGCATAAACAAGATATCAAGAAAAAAATAACCGCAATTAAATATTTATTTTTCTTTAAAGGTGTGTCTTTGAAAATAAAATTACAAAGAAGGTTTACAATGTGACTTTGTATTTTTGGCTTTGTAAATACCAATTAATATTATCATAAACAAAAATACATGCCAAGCCACCTATTAACACCTCCGAAGTTATACACTCAAACATGATATTTCACTTGAATATATAGAATGATATTTACATTTCCAATGTCTTTGTCCGAGATAAAATTACCAATTGTAAATGTAATTGATTTCCTCATGAATGTTTTGGCGCGGTTCCAAAAAAAACCACGTTCAAGGCGGGAGTACACCTAGAGAGAAGCAGGCTTGGAGCCCGTGGATTGGCGGAATCAAAGCATGTAAATATAAGGAATAACTGTCAGATTTTTCAAATTCATGAAGATGATCAATGGATTGGCTTGTGTGATAATTTTATGCATAAACGCCTGGCGTTTATGCAAATTATCACACAAGCCAATCCATTGATCACTTCATGAATTCGAAAAATAAGACAGTTATTCCTTAAATACATAAATATACATGCTGAGCGGCCTATTACCGCCTCCGAGATTTTATACACATAAAAATGATATTTTCACTTGAATATATAGAATAGATACATAAATATACATGTTGAGCGGCCTATTACCGCCTCCGAGATTATATACACATTATAATGATATTTTCACTTGAATATATAGAATAGATACATAAAAATATACATGTTGAGCGGCCTATTACCGCCTGCAAGATTATGAACTCACACATGATATTTCACTTGAATATATAGAATAGATACATAAATATACATGTTGAGCGGCCTATTACCGCCTCCGAGATTATATACACATTATAATGATATTTTCACTTGAATATATAGAATAGATACATAAATATACATGCTGAGCGGCCCATTACCGCCTTCGAGATTATACACTCACACATGATTTTTCACTTGAATATATAGAATAGATACATAAATATACATGCTGAGCGGTCTATTACCGCCTCCGAGATTATATACACATTATAATGATATTTTCAATTTAATATATAGAATAGATATATAAATATACATGCTGAGCGGCCTATTACCGCCTCCGAGATTATGCACTCACACATGACATTTCACTTGAATATAGAGAATAGATACATAAATATACATGCTGAGCGGCCCATTACCGCCTTCGAGATTATACACTCACACATGATTTTTCACTTGAATATATAGAATAGATACATAAATATACATGCTGAGCGGTCTATTACCGCCTCCGAGATTATATACACGTTATAATGATATTTTCACTTGAATATATAGAATAGATACATAAATATACATGCTGAGCGGCCTATTACCGCCTCCGAGATTATACACTCACACATGATATTTCACTTGAATATAGAATATATAGTTATTATTACTAAATGTATCGGCAATGGATTAAAAACTTGACATTAACTATCTAAGATGAAGACTGCAAATTATTAGCATGCAGTTATGTAAAGATTTTAATCTTTTCTTTTGGCCTTTTTCATAGAAGTTTCTGTTTCTTTACATCTTTTCTCTGCCTCTTCCATTGGCAAGCCAGTTCGCAAGCACACACCAAAGACTATAGCCTCTTTCATCAGGACATGAGTTAGGTAATACATGCCACAACTGAAAATGTATATAAAAAAATATTTAATAAATATTAAATCAAAAGCATTACCCAATACGTAATTAAATCTGTCTGAATGAAAAAACAATTTTAAAGTGACACTTAAAATACAAGAACCCCACAGGCCACAAGTCTCACGTGTGTTTATATGGTTTTCCTTTCCTTCATCATCAGTTTTTTTTTATCATTATTAATTTTCCAATATAAAACTTTGATCACCAATTGTGGTCATAACCAATCCCCAAAATCACAACCAACAGTGATCTTATTTTCATTATTATATTGTGTGAGATTGAACTTTCATTTAAAAAAAAAAACAGACTTTAAATCATAAACCAGTGATAAGAAAAATCAATACAGAGTTTAAAGCTAATATTACAAAATAAAGCTGCTGGAGATTATAACATTCATGCACATGATAGCCAAGGGCAGATGAAAAGGCCTCAATAACTATCATTCTTCTTTACCTGGGGGAATGCAGATGATGGACAAATAAATAAAAAACACTTACATTGGATTTTCTCTCAACAGTTTCTCAAGGATGTTTTTCTCAAGAACTGTAAAAGTGTAGTATCTTGTGAATATTGTCCTGAAAAGGTATTCAAATACTGTATTAGAAAATTCATTAAATATTCCAAAATGAAGGGTTCCTCCTTCTTTTAATGCAAATTTATAGACCCAATGACAAAAAAAAAATTAAAAATAACTATACACCTATAAGATAGATACAATATAAGATACATCCTTATGTGTATAGTAAATTCAACATTCTGAAGATTCTGAACAAATTCGTTGTGGGAATAATGAAAATTTGACAAATTTATCTCAATTCAGATTTATTTTCTTCAGATTAAGTTGGATCTTTAAACAAATGTAACATGGACTTATGACTTGTTATGGTGTGTCAAATAACAACAAGGCTGTTGGTTCGAGTTTTTGACAAGACGATAAACTCTTTATTTGATGGATCAATAATCATCAATCAAAACCCTATAATGAAATAACAAATTATAAATTCTAAGCATAAAAACTATAAAGCTATTTATCAATATACATGTACAAATCACAAGCAAATTCAAAGAATTGTGGTCCCCCGCTTTCGGTGTCTTTGTGAGTGAGATGTTATCTTTATGACATAGTGTGTGTAATATGAACATCCTATCATATGTCATTTATTTAGAAAGTAACATTGAAGTTGATTTATTTTAATGATGAAAACCCTAATCCTGACCATTAAAAAGTTGTGGCCAAAGTAAAGAGTTTTTTAAAAGTAGGTCAACTCCAAGGTCAAGATGAAAGGGTCAAAATTGTTGATATCCAATGAAAGGTTTTCTCACAAGGATTACATATGTGAAGTATGAAAGCCCTAGCCCTTTCTGTTCAAAATTTATGGTCAAGATTAAAGTTTTTTTCATAAGTACGTAAATCTTTAAGGTCAAGGTCAAATGATCAAAGTTGTTGATATCCAATGAAAGGACTTGCCACAAAGAATACATATTTGAAATATAATAGTCCTAGTATTTACCGTTCAAAAGTTGTGTTCAAAGTTGAAGTTTTTTTTTAAAGTAGTTAAAACTCCAATGTCAAGGTCAAAGGGTAAAAGTTGTTGTTATCCAATGAAAGGTCTTCTCAAAAGGAAAACATATGTGAAGTACAAAAGCCCTAGCCCCTACTGTTCAAAAGTTATGGTCAAGGTTAAAGATTTTTCATAAGTACGTAAATCTCCAAGGTCAAGGTCAAAAGGTCAAGATTGTTGATATCCAATGAAATGTCTTGCCACAAGGAATACATATGTGAAATATTAAAGTCCGACTATCTACTGTTTAAAACTTGTGACCAAGGTTAAAGTTTTTAAAAAGTAATTAAAACTCCAAGGTCAAGGTCAAAGGGTAAAAGTTATTGGTATCCAATGAAAGGTTTTCTCATAGGGATTACATATGTAAAGTACAAAAGCCCTACCCCCACCGTTCAAAAGTTCTGGTCAAGGTTAAAGTTTTTTCATAAGTACGTAAATCTCCATGGTCAAGGTCAAAAGGTCAAGGTTGTTGTTATCCAATGAAAGGTTTTGCCACAAACAATACATATGTGAAATATGAAAGTCCTAGTACCTACTATTCAAAAGTTATGGCCAAAGTAAAAGTTTGAAATTTTTGTGTAAAAGTGGGTCAAACTCCAAGGTCAAGGTCAAAAGGTCAGATTTGGTGATACCCTGGAAAAGTCTTGTCACAAGGAATACACATGTGAAATATGAAAGTCATAGCTCCACTAAATCAAAAGTTATGGGCAAGGTTAAAGTTTTTGTGACGGACAGACTGACGGACAGACTGACGGACAGACAGACAGACGAATGAGATTTAATGTCCCCTCGCTTTCGCGAAAGCGGGGGACAAATATATCATATAGCTTTATCCAAATCAAGGGAGATAATCCAATTACATGAAAATTACACAGTAAAATCTCCCATTGCTTTATCAATGAATATTTATAATAAAAACTTTACAATGATTATCTCTCCAATGTATATGTACATAATGAATTATTGTTTGGTATAAAAACAATTAACATGCATACCATTCAATGGGAATGGGTCATACACAGCATATAAGCTGCACACAGCAATACATGTACATGAAGGACAATATCTACAAATCAACAATAAAAA